AATCCACATCTTCCCTGGGATCCCAGCACCACCCAGCACTGGGCCAGGCCCAGAGGGGTGTCAGAGGAAGGTTGGTGAGTGAATCAAGGTGAAAAGAATTACAAGATAATGTTGGACTAGGTGATCCTGAAGAAGCCCCCAGTCTGAAGGAGGCAGAGCAGCCACCACACACTCCTCCAGCACCACCCCTCCCTTGGGATCAGGATGTCAGGAAGCGCTTCCCAGAAGAGGGGACATTTTTATACTGGACCTTGAAGCCTGAGTAGGAGCTTGCCACTGGAAGAAGAGTTTTCCAAGATGAAACAGCCCTTGCAAAGGTGCAGAGGAAGAGTAGTGTTCTTTGGTGGGAGAGATGAGGAAGATGAAGCCAGAGCAGGAGTAGATGGGATTGGGAGCCCAAGGAGCAGTTGGAGATGGAGAGGAGGTGGTCAATTTGGGGCAGATGAAGTGGGGTACAGGCAGATTACATGGCTGTCTGGTGTCCACCTTCTCAGAAGACAACAGGAGGTGGCTGCAAGCCTGGACTCAAGGGTGAGAATGTGGAAATATCAAGTGTGGAGGACACTAAGGCAAGGGACAGGCTTGTGCTTCTTCCTTACCTCAGTTTACCCATCTGTGACATGGGCAGTTTGGATTCCTAGCCTGAGCACATACTCCTCTTTGGACATAAAGACTAGGTTTCAGCCCATCCAGCGTGGCTCAGTGGTTGAGCATTGACCCACGATCCAGGAGATCTCGGTTCAATTCCCCCATCAGGACATATGCTCCAGTTGTGAGCTTGATCCCCAGCAGGGGGGCATGCAGGAGGCAGCCAATCAATGACTCTCATTATTGATGTTTCTCTCTCTCTCTCCCTCTCCCTTCCTCTCTCTCTGAAATCAATTTAAAAAAACAAACTAGGGTTCACACTGTATCATAAGGTAGGGGTCAGGGGTCCTGCCTCTCCCACCCCTGCCACCATTGCCCCTCAGTGTCCAATGCAAGACACTCAGGTATCCCAAGAACACACCAGGGCCCATGCCAATCTGGGGGCTTCTGCCTCGACTCCAAGATACAGAACAAGGCTTGGGGAGCGTGGAGGTGGCTGGGGAGCCCAGGCCCCCCAAGGGCCACTCTGTTTACCTGCTGCGGCCTGCTATCTCTGATGCAACAGGCAGGCTCTGGTTACATAAGGGCAGCAGCTGGAGCAGCTCTGGGAGCAGCTGTGGGTGGTGGGAAGAGCAGGCCTGAGCTGAGCTGGCTGGGGCTGCCCCCTGTACACCCACCCGACTCCTGCCCCCTCCCACCATTAGGGTGCCCTCCTATGCTCCTGCCCCTCCATTTCATCTTCTATCATTCACATCCTATTTCCTATAACAGCCCCTCATTTTTTTCCTTGCCCCTGTTCCTATCCTACACTCTCCCCATCACTGGCTGTGTCACTCTTTGTGGGCCCCTATCTCCCATTGGAACAGTCAAAATTCTCAACCTCAGTCTTTTCAGATGACACCTTAGTTACTGGAGTAAGATGTTGGAGGGTAGAGGGGTGGGTTGGGACTAGAAAGGGTTGGAGAGGGCCAGAGGTGAGGGATCTGGGAAGGGGCCCTGAAGATGGGGGAGATAGGGGTGGGGTGGTGGCGAGGTGGAAAAGCTGCTTCCTCCAAGTCCCCTTTTTCCAGGTCCTCTCCCACTATGTCAGCAGGGGAAGGCTTGAAGGACTCTTCATGGCAAGGGCAGTATGGTCCAGCAGGTAGAGCCTCAGGTTAAAGAATCCTGGGTCCCCATCCCAGCTCCAATGCCCACTCACTGTGTGACTTCAGGCCAGTCACTTTGCCACTTTGAGTCCATTTGATCACATGAAAAGTGGGGACAATAGCAGCTTCTCTTTTGGGGCGCCTTTTAAGGTCCACCTTCAATGCCCCTTCCTTCAAAAGCCTTCTATATCCTCCTCCCATTCGAGGTTCTTCTACCCCCACCCCTCCTTCCAGGCCAGCACTGACCCGGGGGGTTTGGAGATGTCTGTGTCCAGCTCTGTTTCCCCCAGCCTAGGGATTCCTTGGGACCAGGCCCAGTGTGTGTCAGCACCACAGGGACATCTCCACTGGCTTCTTGCACAACCAGAGAGCCCAGGAGAGGGTATGAATGGCGGAGGGGCATGAGACCAAGTTTGGGGCATCCAGAGGCCTCACTGGGGGATATGACAGGGCTAGGAGGGGACTTCCCAGGGGCAGGACCCTCAGAGCAGAGCTGAAATAAAACCATGACTTGGACTAGGGGATGACAAAAACCAAACTCAAGTCTGACTTCCACCTTGACCACTGCGGACCAACCGGGGGCCTTGCTGCCCTCTTGGGCCTCCTTTTCCCCCATCTGCAGATCTGAAGGAGCTTTGGGTGGGCTGGGAGGGGTCAGTGGAGAAGCCACACTCTGCCAGGGCTGGGATCCCTTCCAGATCACCCTCACCCTCATGAGTACTGGACCCTTGCCCCAAGGCACGGGGAGCTCACTGCCTTTCTCCCAGCTGCCCACCTATCTCTGGGGCTCTGCTAGGAGCAAGCAAGTCCTACTGAGCTTGAATGCCACACCCTGAGGAGGGAGCACCAGCAGCGTGTGACCAGGAACGCCTGGGGACAGATGCAAGATCCTGCTGAGTAGTCCAGCCTCAAGGAGCCTTAGATTGCTCTCTGAAAAATGGAACTGAGGACATACAGGGTGAAAAAGAGCTAAGGGTTACAATGCTCCTACTGCAATCAGCCAGGACTGAGGACAATGATCAGTTAGAGGCCGAGTGCCCAGCCAAGCCTTTGCCTCTTGCGCCCCCTGGCTGCCTGCTGTGATGGCCCGTTCTTAGGGTGTGAAGGGAGAGATGGCCAGGCAAATGAGATGCAAATCACCAGCCCCCACTTCTTCCCCTGAGGTCCCTTGGGCTCCAGTGTGGGGGGTCTGATAGCCCAGAGTCCTGCATAGACCTGTTTGTGAGAACTATTAGTTTCTGGCTGAGGTTGCATCCAGGGGCTGTGGGTGGCAGAGAGCCTTGGAAAAGTCTGGGGCACCCCATAGTTGCCCCCTACTACCTCACGGTGCCCTTGGGATATGTGCAGTTACCTCGCTTAGCTGCCTTCGTGTCCCCCAGGTCTGAGCCATGGAGCCAGGGCTGACCTGTCTTGCTCACCAGGGCATCCCCTGGGCAGGCAAGGCTTGACGCACAGAGGAGAGTCAATATTTGCTGGATAAATAATTGCATGGTGGACAGGTAGGAGAGACAGACAATTAGAGGTACTTTGAGAGCAGGTAAGAAGACTCTGGGGGTCACACACCAGTCACACACCAGAGCCTCAATAACATGGACCTGAGGTCCCTCTCTCCCCTCAAACTGAGCTGGGGTGGTGGGGAGGCTGAGGCATAGAGGCCCCACACTACACCTTAGGAGGAGAACGAGAGGACTGACTCCCATTTCCTGGCAGTGAGAGGTGGTACTTCCTTGACACCTCCTGTGTCCTTAAACCCTCTCCCAGGCCCTCAGGCTCAACAGCCCTGACATCACACCAGGACCCTCTGTTGCCCCTAGGTTGCCCCTGGCCGTTGCCACCCTTCTTTCCCAACCACCCACAGTGCCAAGGGAAATATGGGGGGGGGTCCTCCCAGAGCAGTGGGTCTGGGACCCCAAACCACTGCATTCTGATCTTCCTGATACATTTTGCTGGATACTCTGTTGATACACAGCTGGCCTTGAAGGTGTTCAGACTATAGGACATGACCTCCCAGGCCTAGAATTCAAAGGGATCAATGTAGGCTCTTCTGCAGCTAGCAGAAAGACTCAAAGCAATTTTGGCAAATACAGTAATTTAGGGACTAGTGTTAGGTACAGCTGGATTTGGGGTCCCATGGTGGGCTCTCCATATCACCTAAGCCTGGGGGGTGTTTCTGCTTGAGGCAGAATGCAGGCCAGGCAAGCTAGTACATGAATGTCCACCTCAGCCTGTATAGAAGGTCCAGTCCAGCTTTCCTTGTCCAGATGGAGAAAGGGAGGACCAGAGGCGGCCAGTTCGAGGCCCCATGTGACACAGCATGTCAGAGGCAAGGCTGGGACCAAACCAGGCAGGGTTTGCTCTCCTCTAACTGTGTGACCTTGCACAAGTCACATCACCTCTCAGAGCCTTTTTTCCCATCTGTATTTGAGGGTGATACCTGTCTATAGGGCTATCTGAGGATGAAAGATGACCATAGCAAAGCCCTCAGCACAGCATGATCAATGGGGATTAACACAGTGGCAGTTATCGGTCCAAGGGAACATGGCTGGTTATCGGGTAGGAGTCTAGGGGCAGCAAAGCCTTGTCTCAGGACATTTACAGCTGGCCTGGACGCTAGAGGCAGGAGCAGGAAAACTGAGCGGACCACACCTGCTTAGTCTTTCATCCCTGCCAGGTCCCACAAGGTTGTGTCCAAGGGCCCAGCTCTGGCCAGGCTGGGGGATGAGGGACAAGGGATGAAGGTCAAGGCAAGGAGGCCTGAGAGGCCCCAGGGCTTCAGGGTTACCCCAATGAGGCAGGAGCCTGATGGGGCTGGGGGAAGAGATGAAACCTGGGGTGGGGGTGGGTTGGAGGTCTGGGTGTGACTGTACCTCACCCATCGGGGCCTCAGTTTCCTCTTCTGTAAAATGAGGCTGTATGTAGGACCCTGGAAGAGGCAGGTGGAGAAAGAGGCTGGGGGAGGCTGAGACATGACCCCCTGAAAGTCACCAATGACCCCAGGGGGAAGCAATTGGGTGGGGGAGTAGGAATGGAGGCTCTGAGAGAGGAAGTGGGGTAGCAGTTCTGGGGAACAAAGCAGGGCCTGTTGGGACAAGGGCTGGATCAGGAGGAGCATAGAGCATTTTGCTCAGCAGGGGTACAGCAGTGGAAGGACAGCAGATTGCGGAGGATGTGGGTAGTGCAGCAGGGCAGTGTCCTTGAAGTATAAGGGTGGCAGGAACCAGGGCACAGGGGATGGGACAGGTAGACATTTCAGCAGCCCCTCCCAGATGTCTTCCAAGTGATCCCAGAGCCTGTGGGATTGCTCACCGCTCCCAGGCCCAGGGCTAAGCCTGATACTTAGCAGGTGCCCAGTAAGTGCTCTCTGACCGCACATGTGTGAACTCTGCTGCCTCTTGGTTCTCGGGGCTGCTGCTCAAGGGCCTGTGGGGTCCCTGTCCATGCATCCACAACCCTCAGAGAGGGCCTCCATGGTACAGAGTACCATCATAATAGATGGGCAGGGGCTCTGAGAGCTACACAAGCCTGCTGCTCAGTACCTTGGGCACCTCTGATTGGCCAGGGTCTGTCCTGCATGGGAACAAAATAATACACCAGGCCTTTCTAGGTGCCACACTCTCCTCAGACGATCAACTACACCTCCCAGTGTTGATGCCTTGCTTCAGTTCTCTCCCATCCAGTTTTTGGCCTGGCCACATGGCTGGCCTTGACCAATGGGACACCCACAAATGTGAAGCAAGTAGAGGCGAAATGAGCCCATGTGCACTGGGGCTTCCCTCTTGGTGACCAGCCACCAGATGCCCAAGCCAGCCTGCTGGAGTGGGCACGTGGAGGTTGAGAACTGGACCCCTTGCAGCCAACAGCACCAGTGAAGTCAGATGTGTAAGCCATCTCTGACTGCTGGCCCCACGGAGCTCCAACAGTGCCACACAAATGGCCCCCAGCTGAGCCCAGCCCAAATCACAAAATCATAAGCAATCAGATTGGTGCTGTAAGCCACTGTGTTTTGGACTAGTCTCTCATGCAGCAGTTGACTGCTACACTACACATCACCGAATGCAGCAGCACTCTCTGCCACCTGATGAGTGACTTCCACAGAAGGGAAAAGCAGAGACCAGAGAGGGAGGACTTGCTCAGGGTCACATAGCAGGTGGAACGAGGAGTCCAGAGTTGTGTGGTAACTGCCATGCCGGGCCCTGTCTGAGAGAAGGTGTGTAAGTAGAGCAAGCAGCTGGCATTTGGCAGGGGAGGGAAATGTGGGATCTCCTCTGTTCTGGAGGGGTCCTTGGGATCAGGAAAGGGTTTATGGCCTGAATAAGGGGCAGGAAGATGGCAGAGAACGCACTAGGAAGATGGGCTGACAATGACCCTGAGCAGGAGTCATTGTCAGCCCCTCCCCCCTCCCCCTCCTGACCAAACCATCCTACAAGCCTGAGTGGTTAGATGGTAGGTCACTTCTTGGACAACAAAAGGGTGGGTTAGTTCAGAGCATGGAGCGCAGGAAGGCTCCTGGCCTCACTAAGCACTGACCTGTTTGGAGGGGCCAAAGCACCTCCAAGTGTCTTCCGGGATCAGGCTGAGGAGGGCAGGGGCAACTCCTCCGGGCTGGAATAAAACACGTGCAGTACTCATGAGGCCAAAGTCAGAGGCCATGAAGCTGAGGTCAGAGGCCAGCAGGTCTGATCAGCTAGGCTGGAGTGTGCATGGGGTCATCCTCCCAAGACCCCTGGCCTGAACCTTCAGAGCGTCCTAGGTAAAAATGGGACCAGCTGCCCACTTCAGAGGTCATGGCTGGGCCTCATGGATGTCTGGGTACTTCAAACCCACAAGGCTTGCACAGAGAGGTGTTAGCAGCAGTTTGAGGCTTTCAGAAAAGCACTTTGCATTTTCATAACAGCAGGGAGAAGCAGGGCATTTGAAAGCACTTAGGAAACCATGAGTTCAAAGTAAAAGCTTGGCTTTTGAGGCCCTACTGAGTGCAGGGAGCTGTGCAAGGCACTTTACAGTCAACTCTAGTGAGGGCTGTCACCAACCTGCAGCAGAACAGGCAAAGCTGGACAGTTATTTAATTCAAATAAACCCAGATAAACCCTCATAGGGAAGATTGCTGCACATCCATTTTACACATTCACATTTTATTTTATGATTCTCATGTCTTAGGTTCTCCGACACAGCAACACAAAGGTTTTCTTCTTTCTAAATACCTGGTGGGGTTTGGGCAGGCCAAAACCCCGAACTGCAGGAGCCAGACACATCTCAAAGTTACAGCTTATAGCATGTGTATGTGTATGTTCAAACGCACATATATTAAGTTATAATAAAAACATGAACAAAAAGAACATCCCCAAAAACTCTCTCCCCAGTGTGCAAGGACTGTAAGTGCTTTTCATTTTTAGACCATCTGGTCTTCAGCTCAAAGCCTCCTCTAGCTCTGGGTGCTCTTCCTGCTTGCTGCCTACCTCCCTGACCCCATCTCCCCCTCACTCACCTGCTCCAGCCACACCCACCCTCTAGATTTTCCTCCAACACACCTAGTTCCCCAGTCCCAGGGCCTTTGTCCTCACCACTGTCCTGCCTGGAAAATGATCCCAAGTCATTTCAGTCAGCAATTCTTTCAGGCCTCCGCTCACACTTCCTCTGACTTATCAGAGAGGACCCATATTCCCTTTTTCCCTTTGCACATGTCTGAAATGCTCTAGTCTGTTCCGTGTGTACCTGGTTGCTTTGTGTCTCTCTGTGAGACCACAAGCATGCCTGTCCTGGTCACCTCTCTGTCCCCAACATGCAGCCCAGGACTAGGCACACAGCAGAGCTCAGGATCGGGGTACTGAGTCACTGAACTCTCCTGCCACAGACACCAAAGGACAAGAGGAAGCGACCAGACATTGTGAGATGAGGAAAGGGGGCTGTCCAAGCAGCGATAAGCGGCAGTTCCTGGCCGAGTAGCGAAGGTCCTTACAGCAAGGAGGCTGAGAGCAGCAGGGGCAGGTGGTCCTGGGAGCTACCTGTGGCCCTGGGTGGCAGTGTTCATGTGGTCCCGGATGCTGATGGCCTGTTTGAGGAGGCCCTCCACACTGCGGAAGTAAACGCTGCTGTCGACAAGGTTCTTCACAGCACTATAATGGGAGGATAAACAGTAGACACTGCCCTGCCTCGCCCACCAGCTGGAGCTCAGCAGGTACCTGGGGGACTCTATGGGCCTCTCTGAGGGCTCATCAGGAGCTCAAAGTTTAGATTTCCCCGCCAAGCCTAGAGGACATTATGACAGTCCCTGCTGACAGGCCATCTAATGTTCTAAAGGAGCTAAAAGCATGTAAAGGTGGCCTTGAAAATATCTCGCTTTCCTCTTAGATAACCTATTCCTGCCTCCAAAGGAGGTTTATCAACTCAACTGAACAGCTCTGGAGGTGAGTGTAAACTGAACCGGGATAACTTCTTATCAGTTAGGGGGCACTGCTCAAAGGTGCACTCAGCTCTGGAATTGGTACCACACTGTTGAATATCTAATGAAAATGTCCTTTCTACCCAGATGGTGTGGTGCAGTGGATTGAGCTTTGAATTCTGAACCAAGAGTTCACTAGTTTGATTCCAGGTCAGGGCACATGCCAGGGTTGCCAGCTCAATCCCCAGTAGGGGGCATGCAGGAGGCAGCTGATTGATGTTTCTCTCATCCATGATTCTCTCTCTATCCTTCTCCCATTCTCTCTTTCTAGAATCAATAAGAGCACATTTAAAAAAGAAAAGAAAACGTCCTTTCCGATGGCAGTGCAGGAAAACATTTACCAAGACATGAGGGGCCTTGCTAATGCCAGAAAGTCACCTGTGCAACATCTGCAGTAAAAATAAAAGTGTCGCCCGGCCAGCATAGCTCAGTGGTTGAGCATTGACCTATAATCCAGATCACAGCTCGAATCCTGGTCAGGGCACATGCCCGGGTTATGGGCTCGATCCCCAGTTGGGGGTGTGCAGGAGGCAGCCGATCAATGACTCTCATTATTGATGTTTCTTTCTCTCTCTTCCTCTCCCTTCCTCTCTCTGAAATCAATAAAGATATATTTTAAATAAATAAATAAAAGTGTCATGTTTTTTTGTTTGTTACTTGTCACCTGAGGATATTTTTTCCAGATTTTTAGAGAGAGCGGAAGGGAGGGAAAGAGGGGAAAGAGAGACTGAGAAACACAGATGTGAGAGAGACACATCAATCAGTTGCCTCCTGCACTCACCCCAACCAGGGCTGGGGATCAAACCCGCAACCCTTCAGCGATGGGCTGATGCCCCAACCACTGAGCAACACCAGCCAGGGCTAAAAGTGTTGTTTTAAAGTCCTTCTGTTAAAGAAAAAAAAATATCTCTTCCATTTATTATCAGTCAGAGACCTGCTTGAATATGGCCATGAGATCAAAGGGAGGAGCGTTCACTGTTAACTTATTTTACGCTACCAAGTGCAGTCAGCTTTTCTAGCATTTGATTGCCCAACTTTATTAAAAAACTCAATAAAACAAGAAAAAGAAAAAGAAATGAAAAAAGAGAAAACAACGTCATTAATGTAAGCTCACTATTGAATAGTTTACTCCAATTTAACATCTTTCAATTTTACACCAACCATTAACACGGCATAAAGCACTTTGAACAACTAAAAGCCAAGGGCTTGCCCTGGCCGGTGTGGCTCAGTTGGTGGAACATCATCCCATGCACTGAAAGGTTGCCAGTCTGATTCCTCGTCAGGGCACATGCTCAGATTGCAGGTTTTATCCCTGGTCAGGGTGCATACAGGAGGCAACTGATCAATGTTTCTCTCTCACATCAGTGTTTCTCTCTGTATCTCTCCCTCTCCTTTCCCCCTCTCTCTGAAATCAATAAAAACATATATATATTTATTTAAATATATCTTTATTGATTTTGAGAGGAAGGGAGAGGGAGAGAGAGAGATAGAAACATCAATGATGAGAGAGTCATTGATCGGCTGCCTCCTGCACACCCCTGACTGGGGATTGAGCCCACAACCCAGGCACGTGCCCTGACCAGGAATCGAACTGCCATCTCCTGGATCCTAGGTCAATGATTAACTACTTAGCCACGCCAAGCTGGGCTAAAAACATATTTTTAACAATAAAAAATAAGAGCTAATGGCTCTCTCATGTCCATAAAGGAAACATGTTCTTTTAGCATTAGAGAAATTCACATCTCACCACAGAGAAGCACTCAGAGATCAGGGTACACTGGCTTCCAGCCTAGTCTAACATGGTCCAGTGGAACTTTCTGGAACATGAGAGACACTTTTTTATCCACTGAGGTAATTGCTCAGCACTTGAAATATAGCTAGAGAGACTAAGGAGCTGAATCTTTCATTTTATTTTATTTCATTTATTTTATTTTATTGTTAAATGTTTTTCTTGATTTTAGAGAGAGAGGAAGGGAGAGGGACAGAGATAGAAACATTAATGATGAGAGAGTCATTGATCGGCTGACTCCTGCATGTCCCCCACTGGGGATCGAGCCTGCAACCCGGGCATGTGCCCTGACCGGGAATCAAACCAGGATTTCCTGGATCATAGGTCGACGACGCTCAACCACTGAGCCATACTGCTGGACATTTTATTTCATTTCAATGCATTAAAATTTAAGTGTGCAGCCCTGGTAGCCCAGGTTCCTGAGCTGGATGGTGCAGTTAGAGGAACCAGGAAAAAGTAAAGACTTTGACACAATCTTCCTTTAGCCTGGGCCTTGCTGACGAGGTCATGGCTGTCTGGGAGCTGTTGGGCAGCCTGAAAGAGAAACTCCTATTTCTTTTCTACTCTTCCCCGAGCTAAGGAGGGTGTTTGTGACTGCCATCCTCAGGAAGACGCCATTTGTCCAAGTCACCCCGTCCCAGTGGAGGGGCTAGGGCTGTTGATGGCAGAACACTCAGCTCAGTGGCCCCGGCAGCAGACTTCCTGTCAAGGAACCTTCACCCACACGACAGAAACAGGCAAGCAAACCCCACAGTGCCACAGATGAGAAGTGTTAGGAGTGTCCAGCCTCCACCAAATGACCCACAGGCCATGCCAGGTGCAAATGGTACCTATAAATAAAGGGGCCAAACTCCTGAGGCAAATGGAACAAGCCAGGGCTTTAAATACAGTTCAGGGCACCAAAAGAAGTGCAGGAGAAAATGCCAGCAAAGCTGCCATATTGCAAAGAAAAACCAACTACTATTTTTCGCCCTCAGGCATCTTCCCACTGGGGGGGGAGGGGAAATCTGAAGATTTAAAGAAAATTAAACAAAAAACAAATGGAACACCCACATTCACAGCAGTGTTATTCACAATAGATAAAACATGGAAGCAACCCAGCCCTGGCCAGTGTGGCTCAGTTGTTTGGAGCTTCATCCCTTACACCAAAAGGTCGTACATGGGTTCGATTCCCTACGGGGGAACATGCCCAGGTTGCAGGATTTGGTCCCCATTGGGGTGTGTATCAGAGGCAACCAATCGTTGTATGTTTCCCTCTCTCTTGCACTGGTGTTTCTTTCCCTCTTTCCCTTCCTCTCTCTAAAATCAATAAACATATCCTCAGGTAAAGATTAAAAAAAAGAAAAAAAGAAAACAAACCACGGAAGCAACCCAAATGCCCAAAGACAAATGAATGGATAAACAAAATGTGGAATTTTACTCAGTCTTAAAGATTAAAGAGAAAGAAAATTCCAACACGTACTATAACATGGATGAACCTTGAGGTCATTATGCTAAATGAAAGCAGACACAAAAAGACAAATACTGTGTGATCCCACTCATGTGAGGTCCCCAAAGTAGTCAAATTATAGTAACAGAAAGTAGAATGGTGGGTGCCAGGGGCCGGGGGAGCAGGAATGGGGAGTTAGTGTTTAAGGGAGACAGAGTTTCAGTTATGCAAGATGAAAAGTTCTGGAGATAGAGGGTCGTGATGGTTGTACAACAATGTGAATGTACTTAATGCCACTGAACTATATACTTAAAAGTGGTTAAGATGATAAATTTGATGTTTCCCAGGTACACTCTCTTATGACAGATGGGGAGGAGATCAGAGCTGGGGAGAAGTCTGCCCACAGAGAAGCTGAGAAAATAGTGAGACGCGCAGGCCTGGGCTAGAATCTACTGTGTGGCCAGGTAAATTGAGATCCACATGCCTCCCCACTCAGGTAGGCTTGGCAAGACAGGGCTCACAGGGAAGCTGGCTGGGATGCTCCTGAATGCCCAGGAGTTGACCACAGGGCATAGTTGGGTGACCCTGGCAATGGGGAGGCTGTAGTGCTCACCTGCAGGCGTACTCCACTGTGTAGATGGCTCCCTGGCTCTGCTCCTCCCACCGCTGCATGTCGGCCTGCATGGGGGGTGGTGGTGGTGAGGGGTGGCTGTTAGGTGGAGGTTGGGGGGAGGCTGCCATCTCTATCATCCCAGCTCTCTGGGATGGAGCACCCAATAACTGTGGCTGCAGAAAGTGGCCCCCTCCAGCCCCCAATCTTTCTTCCTACAACTCCCCACCTTCACGACTCCAGGCTTTCTGTGAACACCTGGCTACTATGTCTTGGGGCCTTTGCATTAACTGTTCCCTCTCCCTGGCATGTTCTTCCCTCCAGTCTTCACACAGTTGCCTCCTTCTAACCATATAGGTCACAACTAATCTAGGCCTGCTGCTCCTTCTTCCAAATCTGTCCTATATCTGTCCACCCACAGCCCCAACCTGGCTCAGTGACCACATGCCTCCTTGTTTATGTCCCAGCTTTGATTCTTAACCCAACAGCCCCTGCTCTACCAGCAGGCCTCAGCTCAAGATGTGTAGACCCTGTGGGGTTTGGTGGCAGGGGTGCATGGGACTCACCTTATGCTGGGCCAGTTCTGGCAGAGAGCGGCGCACGTGCTCCTGGAGCCGGTAGAGGGCCACAGATGGCTCATTGGCCAGGACGTAGACGCTCTCAGTGAACTTGTCTGTGACTGGGTCCAAGATTGACAGTGGAAGTCCAAGATTGATAAGGGAAGAAGGTCCACAGACACAAAGAGACAAAACATAAGATTCCTGATTGCTCAACCTATGAGTCTAACCAGAGCTGTGAAGAGTATCTGGTGTCCCTCCAGCAGCTGGGTCACCTGTGGCCCAGGTGATACGTTGAAGGAGATGGTCACAGAAGGCCTCATTCATACTATCAATGCATCCAGTGAACTCATGATCTGTCCCCTCCCAATCTCACTTGTAGTGGACATTACTGCTGCCCACTCGGATCCCCTCACATTCTTTTTACCCCAGTGAATAAATCTGAGATTCATCCTTGAAGGATCCATTAGTTACTGGATCTGGAAGTGCCTGAAAGTTGATTTATATCCCTGGGTGGCCCTCAGCCATGACTGACCATCGTGGCATATGAAAGTCTGTGTCCCTTGCTGTGTGTTGGGACAATTGGGAAGAATGATTCGCCTCCACTAAACCCCCTTGCCAAATGAGGCTAAGGCCTCCATCTGAGGGATTTTTGCTCCTTGCTCAGGCTCTTCCCCAGCCCAGTTCTGTTCCCCCTCTAGTCTGTGGGGCTCTCCTGGTAAGTTAATTACATACAAATCCTCATCCCAGGGTCTGCATTCCCAGCCAGCTGGTCGTCCATGCCATCCGAGGCTAGATCCTTCTAGTTCTGCTACAAAACAAAGCCCAACCTCACCCATGCTTACCACTTCACTGACCCCACCACTGGTCCTGGTATGGCCATCTCCTACCTGGATGCCAGACTCAGCCCCTCTTGGTCTCCCTGCTTCCCCTCCTGCCAATAATCCCATCTCCACACAACAGATGGAGTGAACTCCTAATGAACACATCAAATACATCCCCCCCTTGCTTCGAACCCTCCCACTGCTCCCATCAGCCAGAGAATAAAATCTGCTTTCCTCACCATGGCCCCTAAGGTCCTGTGTGTTCTGCCTGCTGTTGACCTCCCTGTCCGCTTTGCCTTCCACCTAGGCACAATGGCCTCCTGGCTGTTACTTGGACATTCCCAGCACTGTCCAAAAGAATTTTCTGAGATGACTGAAAGGTTCTATAACCTATACTGTCCAATAAGGTAGCCACTAGCCACAGGTGGCTACTGAGCACTTGAAATGTGACCAGTGTGACTGAGACACTGAATTTTTAACTTTACCTAATGTTAATTAACTTAAATACCCATAAATACTGTGACCAGTAGCTACTGTATTACAGCAAAGCTCTGAACACTTTGCCGCCTCAGGGCCTTTGTATCTGTCCTTCCTGCCACTGATACACCCCCATCCCCACCCTTGGCTTCATCCCTCCTGTCTCAGCCAAAATGTCACCTCCTAGGCAAAGAATTCCCTAATCACCTAATCAGATGTCCCTCATTCTCAACCTGAGCACCTTGTTCATTTCTCTTATATTTAAATTCTTGTTCTTTACTAGGTTACATGTGTAATGACAAAAAAAAAGACCTTTCTTTTTCTTTGCTGTAGCCTTCCACAATTTATGAGAAGCACATGGTAATTAAACTCCAAGGTTGTTGGCTCCTCTAATTCAGTCTCTCTTCAAACTGCTAGATGAGATAAGGTACTCTCAAGGCTACATTCTTGCATCCCCCCTGCTCTGCTGTTTTTACAGCTCAAGGATAATTAGCACCAAGGAGTCTCTAGTTAATAGAAAGTTCCCTTTCCCCTTTGAACAAGCCCCTTTTCAACTCTCCATAACTTTTGCTCTAAGCATGTTTTAAGACTTGGGAAAAGTACTGATAAGACATCTGCCAGACTGTCTCCTGGAAAGTGATCAAAGTATAACTTTTCAAGACAACTTCCCTGGTATCTGCTCACCTTCAACACACAACCCAAACCCCTCCCTTCCTTGTCACCTAGCAACAGCACCTGCTTAAAAGAGCAGGCCGGCCCTTTATTGATTAGCATGCACCAGCCATTTCCCTTCTGGAGGAAAGTAAGATAAACTCCCTCTTTGCAACTCTCACTCCTCTCCATTGTGAAATCTTTCAAGGCCCGCATCACTGGCCAAAACCATAACAACATGTTTACAGAAAAAAATTAAAGCTTGGCTTCTTGAAGGCAGGGGTTTCTCTGAGCCTGTTTCCTCATCTGTAAAAATGCAATGATAACAGTACCCACTCTCGAGGTTTGTTACGGAGATGAACCCTACACTACTGCCCAGGGCAGTGTGGTTGGCAAGAGAGAGAACTCTGGCGTGTCTGGGAGTCAAGGGAGGTTGTGCATGAGTCTGTCCAGTGTGAATCAGTGCAGCTCATGGGCCCAGCCTGCAACCTTCAAACTGTATAGATTATAGAACCTTTTACCCTCTCAGGCCTTCTCCTTTCAAAAATGAGCATGTAATAGTTTACACCTCAGTGTTATTACAAAAGATGTGGAAAATGTATTTGTGCCACTCTAGCAAGTTTGGCTCAGTGGTTAGAGCACTGGACTGAAGGGTGTCGAGTTCCATTCCAGTCAAGGGCGGGTACCTCGGTTTCAGGCTCCATCCAGGCCCCAGTCCTGCGAATTCGGGAGGCAACCAATAGATGTCTCTCTCACATCAATGTTTATGTTTCTCTCTTTCTCCCTTCCTCCCTCCCTCCCTCCTGTCTCTTATACACATCTTCCAATCGGAACCCTAACCGGATCTCTAACCCTAGCCCTCAACATAACCCTAACCCTAGGTNGCAAGCTTGTGGCATTTTGTAATTTGTAACTATGTGATTTATAAATATTTGGTAAGTCAATGTAAACATACACAAATGGTTAACTCTATAAAGCAACAATATGCACGATTGCCATGTCCCAAGCTTTCTTCCAGTGAATTACAAGTATCAGGTCACTGAGTTCTCACAAGCCTGTGAAGGGAGAGGGGAGACTATACTGATGACAAAACCGAGGCACGGGGGCTTTAAAGGTTTCAAAAATAGTTAGAGGCAGAACCAGGATTCTATAGCAGTTCAATCTCTGCCCCTCAAGCTTCCTCCCTGTCTTTGCCCCCTCCCTCCCTCCGTCAGGTTGCCCCTCCGTCAGGTTGCCCCTCCGTCAGGTTGCCCCTCCGTCAGGTTGCCCCTCCGTCAGGTTGCCCCTCCGTCAGGTTGCCCCTCCGTCAGGTTGCCCCTCCGTCAGGTTGCCCCTCCGTCAGGTTGCCCCTCCGTCAGGTTGCCCCTCCGTCAGGTTGCCCCTCCGTCAGGTTGCCCCTCCGTCAGGTTGCCCCTCCGTCAGGTTGCCCCTCCGTCAGGTTGCCCCTCCGTCAGGTTGCCCCTCCGTCAGGTTGCCCCTCCGTCAGGTTGCCCCTCCGTCAGGTTGCCCCTCCGTCAGGTTGCCCCTCCGTCAGGTTGCCCCTCCGTCAGGTTGCCCCTCCGTCAGGTTGCCCCTCCGTCAGGTTGCCCCTCCGTCAGGTTGCCCCTCCGTCAGGTTGCCCCTCCGCGAGTTCTTGGGCTCTTCGTCCAGCCGGGGGCCTCGCATTACCTTTCTTCCCTTTGAGCTGCATCTCCGGTTCCTCCATAGCGACAGCGGCCCTTGAAACCTGAGAACCGGAACCGGAAGTCTGGAGGTGGTGACAGTTCCCTAAACCTTCCCCTGAGATACCGCACTTGGCGCTGTCACAATTCCAGCGCCCATTGGCCTGCCCTCTCCGTTTTTCCGTCTCTACTTAGAGTGAGAGAGTGGGGAAGGGGGCACATCGGGAAGCAGGTGAGGAGGGGGCAAAGACCCCATGAAGCTCCAGGAGGGACATCGAGGAGGGGAGGGGCAAGGGCGCCTTCCCTTCCTGAACCCCCTTTTCCAGGGGCATTTGAATTGCGGCAACGCTCCACCAACCCCTCACTTCGGGCCGTATAAACAGCCTCTTTGTACCCCACTGCTGCTATCAAACCCCTGCACATGCTCATGAGCCCCCGAGACCGCAGAGGGAACATTGTTATGAACCGGGACGACAGTGGAGTCGCCCCTTTAAATCCCGGACGCCCCGCCTGCTTCCTCCCCGTAGCCCGCGGAGGAAGCCCCGCCTACCCGCCCGAAACTGGAGCGGATTGGCTTCTAACAGGCGCAATGAGATCTTCCGAGCCCTCTGAAGGTCCGCCCATTTCTCTGGACCCTACCGGGCTTCCTCCGGAGCTCCGGGACTAGAACGCGCAGGCGCAGTTGCACTTCTCGGACCCTAGTGGAAACCACGCCCCTCCCCCAATCCTTAAAGGGCCAGAAGCAACTCCTACTGCTCTTGCCCTTCCGCACTTTTGGGGGGCAGGGTGCGCAGGCGCAGTGGGGAGCTCTGGGGTGGGGGGTAGTGGTTGAGTATCAAGTTGCTCTCTGTCCCTGCAGAAGAAGCCAGGGCGCCGAGGGTCCAGGCTCCAGTTTGCTCCCCCCTACCTCAATTGGAGGAGAAAAGTTTGTGAATCGGGCTTCCAAGTTTTGGGGGACCCGGGCTCGCGGCGAGGGGTGACAGAGAAGGTTCATTGGAGGTGAGTGGACATCCTGTATTGGCTTGGAGGGGCGGGTGGGATGGAACCAGTTACATCTTTGTTGATCCTTCAGCCATTCCGGGGACCACCCTTCAAAAAAATAACCAGTGAACATTTATTAAGCTCTGCGGATATTTAAGGCCCTCTCCTTAGCTATATACGGACATGATTTCTTTTAGACCTCATTTCCCCACTTATTAATGAGGATACAAGTTCAGAGTAGTTAAGGAATGTGCCCAAGTTTTCACAGCCTGTAAGTGGAAGGATTCTAACCCAGATAGTTGACCCCTGAGCCAGGGCTTTTAAGCAATGACTATTGTATGTGCCTTGCTGGTGGAGAGTGGGCCTGAAAAGTAATTGGTGTCAGATTTAATTTCCCCGATGAGCCGGAGTTTACTCACCCTCATTATGCAAGGTCAGTTATGCAGTTAGTGCCTAATTGAAGAGCTTTTCATAATTATTGTCATCTCTGCCCTTTTGGTGCCTCCACTAGCTTCCCCCATGGAGCTCACCCAGCCTACAGAGGACCTCAGCCTGACCCAGCAGCCCCCCATCCCGGAATTTGGGGACTCTGAAGACCCCAGGGATGAGGCCCCGGATGGCTCAGAAACAGTGGTGCTCAGTCTCTTTCCTTGCACCCCAGAAGAGCCTGGGAATCCTGAACCGGATGCTGGCGCCTCTTCACCTCAGGGTAGATACTGCCTTGGGCTCTAGCCTCTGGGATGCAAGGACTGGAATGTTAGGCCCAAGATGTGGCCTCTTGTCTTCATGTCCCAGCACCTAGGACATACATGTCTTCCTGCTCCACCCAGTAAGGGATTGCTTATTTGTTTTTATTGTGGTAAAATCCACATAAGTTACCATTTTAACCAGAATTGCATACAATTCAGTGGCAGTAAGTACATTCACAGTGGTGGGTAACCCCAACCTCTATCTGTACTTCTAGCACATTTCCATCACCCCAAAAGGAAATCCCACCCGGGCCACTCCTCAGAAACCTGGGTCATGACTTCCACACAAGCAGCAGGACCCTAGAGCTGCCAGTCTCTCAGGAGATCTGATGGCCCGTACCTTATTTAACATCTCTGGTGACAGGCAGGGCCCAGGACCTCATTCAGAGTACTCCGAGAGTTGCCTTTTCTGAGGAGCAACAGAGTCTCCAAATTCTTCAGGTTTTCAGATGACTGTTGATGTCTATGGGACATCCCCAGATTGGCCAGTGGGTCCTGTAGCTTCCAGCTTCTCAGGGCTCACCTCCAGTAGCATCAGTGGAGAGTGGATGGGGGAGTCACTCCCAGTGTCTTTGGTAGCTCTAAGCCCCCAGGGTCTAGCTTGAAACCCCAGAACCCTTCCTCTTTCTTCCACCAGGCAGCTCCCTGAAGCACTCCACGACCCTCACCAACCGGCAGCGGGGGAATGAGGTCTCGGCCCTGCCGGCCACCCTGGACTGTGAGTAGCCCCCGTCCCCAATGGGGGATGGGACAGAAGGGTGGCAGGGCTGAGAGGAACAACTTGGGACAGGAGGTAAACTGAGGCACAGAGCAGGGATGGGATAGGTGAGGACGCTGCCTCTCTCTGGCCCCAGCCCTGTCCATCCACCAGCTTGCGGCCCAGGGAGAGCTGAGTCAGCTGAAGGAGCATCTGAGGAAAGGTGTGTGTCTACACCCATGTACTAGTGTATCCGTGCTGCTCATCTGACCTCGTGTGCTGGTGTGTGCATGTGGGTGCTGTCGTGACCTGTGTCCATATAGGCCTGTGTCTACACGTATGTATAAGCATGGCCACTTGTGTGTATCCAGGTGTCCCCCCATCTGACCCCAGCTGCCCACCTGATCCCCACTCCCACAGCTTTGGGGAGAGTGGGCAGGGGTGCAGCCCAGTGGTACCACCCCCTCCTGCCAGGCGACAACCTCATCAACAAGCCGGACGAGCGTGGCTTCACCCCCCTTATCTGGGCCTCGGCCTTCGGAGAGATCGAGACCGTCCGATTCTTGCTTGAGTGGGTGCGTCCCTGCCCAGCTGGGGGCTTCCAGGGACTCGAGGGCGGGCCAGGTCTCAGCTGAGTCTGCCAGTGATGTGGCTGCCATGGGGACCACAGGATTCCAGGGGATTCTCCCACTCCTCCCATCACCACTCCTTCTGCTCACCCCAGGGTGCTGACCCCCACATCCTGGCCAAGGAGCGGGAGAGCGCCCTGTCACTGGCCAGCACAGGGGGCTACACAGACATCGTGGGGCTGCTGCTTGAGCGTGATGTGGACATCAACATCTATGACTGGGTGAGGCACCACATGCCGGCCCTGGGCTCCTTGCAGGGTACCAGGCCTGCTCTGTATGTTAAGAACACAATACAGACTCATCCCCAAGCCTCACAGAGCTCCCAGTTTTGGTGGGAGGGGAGGGGAGGAGCCAATACATAAACAGTCAGCTGAGATGTGGTGAAAAATGCTGTGATGGCAGTCACACAGGCAGCTGCGAGAGCCGAGATGGTCTGCACAGCCAAGAGAGGTCAGGGAGGGCTACCTGGAAGAGGGACATCTACTGAGCCCCAAAGGAGGCTAGACAAGGGCCAGGTGACAAGCAGAAGGAAACACATTAAATTGGAGGGTGCTGGGTGGTATGAGAATCCAGTAAAAGTAGTGCTGGTTGCCCCTGCCTCTGACAGAATGGAGGGACGCCACTGCTCTATGCCGTGCGTGGGAACCATGTGAAGTGCGTGGAGGCCTTGCTGGGTGAGTGGGAGTAGAGGCTGGTCCTGGGAGCCCTCGAGCCCTAGCTGGCACTGCAGGAATCCTGAGGGCCAGGGAGGGTCAGAGTGCTACTTCAACAAATCTTGTCTGCTTTTGCCAGAGGGTTGATCAGGGGGCAGAAGGTGTTGGGACACGACAGGGGTCTGGCCTCAAGTACCCTGGAGGTAGGGGTTCTGTTGTCCACATTCTGAGGAGAGCTCAGTCTCTTGTCCAAGGCCACACAGGCAACCAACCAACCTGGGGCTTTGTCATTGGGGGGGG